CAGCTGCAAGTGCAGGGCCTGGTCGAAGTATAGAGAAGAAAGGCCGGACTATAAAAGGCCTGTGTAGCGACGTACGAGCTGACTAGGTAGTACTAGGTAAAGCACTCAGGGCTGCGTCACGAGCGCAGAAATGTCCCCCTGGTAGCAGTGTCGGCGGGCACAGTCAAGAGGTTAGGAAGATGGAGGAGGGAGGTGCACCAACCAGCGGTCGACGAAGGAGGGGCGCGCGCAAAGGTGTCGACAAGAGATAGCAACCGGTTAGAGCGCAGGGCTCATAACCTGATGAACTCTGAACCTGGAAGGCTGTAAGCCGCACAAAGAGAGGTCTTCAGTCTGTGAGAGAACGACTCAATTGCATAGCAACTGTACCTGTAAGCCGCACAAAGAGAGGCTACAAGTACAAGTAAGTAAACATGTATGTAGGCATAGATGTAATGAGACTTACTCTTCAGTCTGTGAGAGAACGACTGAAGAGCAGAGGCGTACAGAGCTCTCCTTATATACTAGGTAGGAGAGCAATGAGTAATCATAGAGAGCGAAGTCATATGATAGTCTGACTGAGCGATGAGTAAGAAAACATAATCGACAATGAGTCAAAGAGTCCTTGGATGAGTAATCCTAGCTGCCTAGACTGTGTCTAGAATAGTCTGAAGCAATGTAGAACGTACCAGAAACATATGTAGGGATGACACAATACCAGTATGTACAGATCGCAAAAGAATGTACATATATGGTAAGTAAGATAGTCCATGCTGTGCGTGTAAGACGCACAGCTAGTATGTCCTTCCCTGCTCAGGATACCAAATACGCGGTCGTCTGGACACCCGTACGACCGCACGTATGCGGTCGTGTGGACACAGAGACAACCGCTCAGCCAGCGGTCGTCCGACCACCTAGACGACCGCACGGTCAGCGGTCGTCTGGTCATCGAGACAACCGCGCGGCCGTCTAGACCTCTAGACGACCGCACACTCGAACAGGGAAGTTCAACATGTTCGCCTGATTCGGTCTCTTGGGGGTATATGACAGATGCATTTGTGTAGGAGAACAACCAACGACATTAATGTGGTTATTGCAAGTGCGCCCAGCTCTTTTTCCTAAGCATCTTACAACATCCGTGCTGCACTGATTTATGACTCCAACAGCTCTCCTTGTGTATGATGCCATTGTGTGCATGGACATGGAAGTCCGATATGTCTGGCAGTCACTGAAGGCCTCACGCAAGCTCTCGCGGCTCCTGTACGTGTACAACCGGTACATGTCAATTCTATGGAACCTCCTCGTCTTTGGGGTGATAGGCACAGTTTCTGACACTGTGAGTGCGACTTGTGCAAGATATATACTTGATGCACTCTGAAGTGGACACCCGCTCTCTAGAGGTAAGCACCTGCCTTTGCATGTACACATCCTGTGCACTCCTGACACTGTTCCTCCGCGCAGCTGTACTGCATTAAATTGGATCACCCCCATCTTGGACTATCTGACCCTGCTCGGCCCTGCCGGTAAGTGAGAATCCGCTGAAAATGAGTATGGCAGGTGGAATTTCTGCTCACATCGTATGCACTACCCAAGCTTTCACCACCCTGAGAGTCTATGCACTCTCGGAAGCGAACAAGATGCTGACAGGCGTTGTACTGCTGCTGAGCATGGGCCCATTCCTCGTCAATGTGGTCTGTTGTCCCATTGCTACATTTATCCACATCTTGCTGATAGAGAATACTATCATAGATCACATTGTACAAGCATGTACCCATCAATCTACCCCTGCCGTACGGCTGTAGTTATGATTTTAATATTAGTATAAAGGTTTATGTTGCGTGAGTTCTCACTTCTTCTGAGTGAATTACACTAATGTCAACCCCGGTAATTGAAAGGTGTAAGTCTTGTAAATCAGGTCAAAGATGTACCCATTTACATATTTGAACAGTGACAATCATATCGAGAACTTGCTTGATCCTCGCAGACACAGTGGCTCTGGGCGTCACCTGGTCGTACACACGTACTACCCGCCAGGAATCGAAACGTCTTTTGGGACGGTTCTCTCTGCAACAAATCTTTTGGGAAAACGGTGGGCCAAAATATCGTAGGAAGTCCTCATGGTTTGTGGACTGATAAAGTCGATTCACAGGAAATGTCTACTTCTGGTACGAGGTCTCTTAATCTGACACTGAACCTGGGCTCAAACTGGATACATTCACAGCACATTGGTTGTTATGAACATAGCGGATATGGTTCTTACTGTTGTAAGATTATCGGTGTGTTTCAGCTCTTGTACATGCCAGCTTAATTCATTGACCATTCGCTCACCCTGCAGACTACAACCGATCTCACTCAAGCAGGCTATGTGATCGAGCTGATCGACCCGTAAGAATTCCCCTTGTATACTGTCCTTGCCACAAATCATTGGGCTAACCCCGGTTTCTGCAGCATCAGCTCGATCTTGAACTCTCGCTTCCTGCTAGCCATCTATGAGTCCAAAGACCACCGTGAACGAGGAGGGTCCCCTGCCTCGTCTTTTTCGACAGTCGATTTTGTCGAAGCTGATCCAAGAGCAGCGGTGTCTCCAGAGCTCCCGGAATTCAGCCAGTCTTTTGGTGGCCCAATCTATTCCCTCCCCAACCACGATCCCGAGCTATTCGACCCGGAGCCGACGGCGGTGCAGCAAGAGCGCGAGGGGGAGATAGGTGCGGAGTCCGAGTCCGAGGACCAGGCACAGGCACAGGCACAGTCGAATGAAGTAGGCGAAGGCTCCGAGCAGGTGTGATTGTGATACTGTTTCTTTCCGACGTCGGTTTGCGTTACATGTGGTTCTCGCTGGAAATTTCTCTTCTTGACTAGCGGATGTATCCTAGAATACGCCGGACCCTCTCCCCGGACTTGTCCTCACCCATATATCCTCACGAATTGTGTACCAGGATATATATATATGGACCTAGTGATTTGTTTCCAGCCCCCGTTACTTGAACCATAGCCACTCTGCGAGTTCCCTCACTTCAAGTTGACCTCGTGGATGGGGCCTTCTCACGAATGCTTGACCCGGACAACACCGGTGTTTGCTTTACGAGCGTTCGTAAGGCTTACTGCATTTACTCGCCTTCACTGGCATTATTTAGCGAGCATGCTGGCCGTCCTTTGCCCACGCCTGGCCCAATACGTCCGGTGAGCAACGGTAATTGTGCCCCTACATCTTCTCTGCAGCCGTACATGGGTGGTAGTGAGCGGCGGAGAGAATGAAGGCAGCATTTCGTGCGGTCTGCTGATCGTTTTGCGTGAGCTCTAGACGGCCGAAGGGGAACGTACACATCGGCCGAAGCCCACGCCGTAGTACTTACACAACGAAACAACATGCAATACACACCACCGATACCCAAGACAATATATCCGACAACAACAGAGCACGGTATTACATACACATATATACACGCGCGCACCGTGCGCACGGCCTTTCCTCCGCCTTGCGCTCGTTGTCCGCTCGTTCCGCAGCCATCGTTGGTCACACGCAATCGCTTTGCGGACACTGTGCCATCCTCTCCAGCCTACATCTCGACGTCCTCTTCGTCGGCTGCGTCTTTCGCAGACGCAGCCTCGCCCTTCCCCCGTCCAGATGCGCGCGTCGGGGCGTTCTTCGTCGCGACCTCCGCGCCCCCGTTTTTCGTCGTACGCCGCTTCTTCGGCTTGAACTCCGCCTGCATGCAGACCAATCCCAATGTTAGTGTTCCGTTTGCAGAAGAGAAGGAAGAGAGAACGGGGCCATACGGAGTATGTCTCGAAAAACTCGGTCGGCTCTTGCCCGCGATGCCCGAGGAACGCGAGCATCGCAGTCGTCGCGACGTAGTTCGTCTTCCCCGCGCGCACGAGCGCGTAGTACTCGAGCAGGTACTCGCGCTCGGCTGAAGGTTCGCGAGAGGGTGGGGTCAGCGTCGGGCTAGGAAACAGAAAGGTGGTGGGCGGACGTACCTTCGTCGACTTCCTCGCCTTGTTCGGAGTTGAGGATATTCTTTGCGGTCGCTCTGCAGTGGCGCCAGGCGGACTTGAACGATGTGAAAAGAGAGAGAAGGGGTGAGCGGGACGTACTCGTCGATGCTCTCGAATTCCATCTTTGTGCCGAGCGCCTGAGAGGCCGCTTCGGCGAGCTCTGGTCCTGCAGTGAGCTGGGGACCTAAAGAAATGTTAACTCTTGCAATATCGGTACACAAGTTTGTCAGTGGACACACGCACCAGTAGCGACGATAACCTGCCCGCGCACGTTATCCGCCAGCCCCTGCGGGCCCTCCGACGTGACCACATACGCCGCAATCTGCGCGATATCCCCCAACGCGACCGGCGCGAACTTGTGGTCCTCCCCAATCGGAAGCTTCAGCTTCCCCTCGCCCTGCGCCTGCTTCGCGTACAGCAACAGGTTCTCCGTGTAGAACCCCGCGCGGATGACGCACGGCGAGTGGCCGGTCTTCCCCGAAGAGGTGTCACCCTTGGGCTGCATGGCGAGAACCTCGAGGTCGATGAACTCGCGCAGCCGGGGTTGGGTGGCGTGCTCGGCGTAGTCGGCGCCGGCGCTGGAGAGGAGGATGAGGTTTTGCACTGTCTTTGCGGACTTGGCGGCGGAGAGGAGCGTGCGCGTGATGTTTGCCTTGTCCTGTAGGTACCCAGACTCGAGTCAGTGCCGTAGCTTGAACAAGGGGAGAGGACGCACCTTGCGCGCGGGCGGGATGAGCAGGCAGGTGTCGACGAGCGACATCGCCTGTACGAGCGCCTCCTCGTCCTTCGGGTCGTACACGATCGTCTTCACGGTGTCGAACTCCTCGAGGACGGCCTTGGCCTGCTCGGAAAAGACGAGCGCGGTGAGCTCGTCGTACTTGCCCGCGTACGTGTCGTCGGTCGTGAGGAGTTCGATGATAAGGCGGCCAGTCTGGCCCTCGCCGGCGGTGATGAGGATCTTGCGCGAGGACTTGGTTGTCGTCTGCGACTTCTGCGCGCTGCCGAACTTGGACTCGCCGTTGCTCGTGCGCTTGGGAGCCATCGCAGGGTGTGTTTTGGGCGGAGACACGTGGGGGGATAGACGGAAGGAGGGAAAGAGAGGCGGGTGGGGGCGGCGGACGGAGGGCGGTGGTCTTTATGGGACGAGGTGTGGATCCATGACGAAACGGAGTCTTTGCTGATCCGCAAGTTAGAGAGAAAGAGAAGCTACTCGTCCGCCATGCGTCATATGTACGGCAGGATGGCTGGGGCGCCTTTTTGCTCCGCCCTAGTCGATGTTCGCCGTGTATGTTTCTTCTGGATGTACTCGTAGTACGACGGGGGCATGCCAGGCCAGGTCTACCAGGTATAATTAGCATCAAGTTGTTCCCAACACCAAGATGTAACGTACTTTCCGAATTAACTGCTCGCAGTGAATTCGTCACACTCAGAGAATGTGGGAAACAAAAGATGCCCTTTGGGGGATCGAGCTGGCCGCGAGGCAACACCTTCAAATCGGATTGATTCTGCTGGTAGAGATGGGATTGTTAAACCCAGCACCAATTTCAGGGATGCGATTCTGATGCGAATGGGGCGTACTGTTCAGATAGAGAAAGAGAGTTGCAGCGTGTGGTGTTGTGGAGAGAGACAGGATCATCGACACACGACAGGCGTCACCAGCGCTTATGCTGCAACACGCGGTCAGGTGAGCAAACGACTTCGCGTGTCCGCGACGCGTCCTGTCAAAAGTATTCCAGCTCTATTTGCGGTGTTCAGCCTGGCAGCAACGCTCCTCGCCTTGGTATAATGCTTATATACCCTCTATTCTACGAGGTTGATATCTTCATCCGAGGCTCGGCCTCAGCAGTCCGCCGTCTCCACTCTTGACCTCTCCCATCATGCTGGTTGGCGGGTTCGCAAGCAGGGAAGTACGCACACAATAATACAATGAAGCTCAATTTTATAATCCCGTAGGTATTCAAGTCAGTACTTGAGGAGTCTACCCCCGGGTGTGGTACGCGTGCTTATTACGCGTGCCACCAGTGAAGTGTTTATGCATGTACACGCGCGACGTTGTGTCTACCCCTCCCCCAGTGTCCTTTTCAGCGATGGCCCCAAGCAACACGTCGACACCCGACAGAGCAGCCGCGCAGGTTCCGCCAAACATACGATCAAACTGCACCGCGCGCCTGGGATCAGGCTGTGGACATATAGCAATGTGTCGTTGTAGGCACATCTTCCCCTTCGAGTATATCCTCGCGCTAACAAAAGTCACGCTTATAAGCGAGCCGGATCGTCAAGCGAGAACGAGCCCGAAGGTAAACGTACCACCAGTGCTACCGTGTCCTCCAGCAGCACCACGAACTTCCGATGCGACGGGCGCTGCCACTGGTTATCCTCGTACACGACGTCTTGTTTGGAGATGCGGTACGGAAGCGGATCCTGCGGCCGCACGAGCCCGAACGGCGGCAAGACCTTGAAGTTGAAGAAGTGCTGCACCGTCCCGGGTGCGCGCGCCACGATGCCGTCGCGGGCCCACGCCCAGCGATGCATCTCGAACACGTAGACGGCGGTGATCGACACGGCAGGTGGACCAATCGCGCGGATCATGTTGAAGATGATGCTGACGCGCGAGCCGCAGGCGGCGACCGCAATATCCGCGTGCGTCGTCGTGTGGATGCCGATGCAGGCGAGTACGTCCCCGCCGCGCGACCAGTCCTCCCACGACAGGTGGCGGGTGCTGACGGTCGGAGGCGATGTCGCCGTCGCGGGGGACAGGCCGATGTTTGCGAGTAGGGCTGCGCGAGGGATGCAGAGCACATAGTCCATGTCTTCGCGATACCGAAATGGACATCTGAAGTGCAGCACGAAGAGGGCGGCTTGGGGGTCGGAATGGAATAGGCCGTCGTCATCTGTGGCCGACGATACTGGTTGAGATGGGATGCTCTCTATACGGAAGCCGTGCGGCGGGGGTAGTAGTGCACATAGAGGGATGACGCTGCGATCTGGGCCGCGGGTAGAGTCGATGGCATGAATGGACACCTCGGCTCGATAGCCTATCAGGAGCAGGTTCTTGTCCAGTAAGTGGGCACAAATCAAGGATGGGCCGGCACGAGTCATGCTCTATCACTGATGAGCGCTGTGCTGAGCTTGACAGCGACCCACTTACCAATAGGACTTCACCCGTCTTCCAATCCAGGACGTATAGGGATGAAGACTGTCCGCGTACCGATATGACCAAGATATTCCCAAGCATGTCGGCTTGAACGATATCCTCCGGGGAGTCAAGCCCTGGTATCTCTAAGACGGCTTGTGTCGCCTGGGGATGGTGACTTATCGACCCGTCGGGGAGAAGAGTCACCAGATTGCAACGGAATGAGCTGCCATGGCATTCATAAGACGCGAGAACCACTAGCGATGAAAGCAAGTATACCTTTCGTTGCCGATTTTTGCTCCGCAGATTGCTACGACGTTCTCTCTCAGGTCGCTCGCGCCCACCAGTGGTTTTTGACCGAGAACAGCAAGTTGCGTAGACCATGTCATAGCCTGAACACGGCGTTTCGGTGAGCCCAAGCAGTATAGCTTGAGCTCGGATCCGATGTACATAGCAATGAGAGGGCCGCTAAACTTTAGGAGACGGAAGGGGTAAACCCCCGCCGTAGGAGTTTCCGTGCTCGAAAAAGTTGGATTGACCGGCAGCTGAAAAGTGCGCCATGCGAACTGGTACTCCTTGAGAGCCTGTAATCGGTCCTTTGAGCCGGGGCTGCGCGATGTCACCCCGTTCACAGCAGCGGCGAAGGACAGCTGGTGTTTGTATTGCACTGCGCTCGATTCGGCCAGTGCTCGGAATTGTTTGTTAACCTATGTTGTGATATCAGTTCAAGTACACGAAGTTTGTGGTCACATTGCACGCACCCTCTTGCAAACCAGTATGCTTCGTACGTCGAGCTCGAGCAGAACAGCGAGAAGAATCTCCGAATTGAGGTCAAGGAGAGACGGCATACTCGCTCCGTGTTGACTTGAGCCAAAGTGGGCTTGATCGCGTGCAGGTCCCCGTATGAGACTTGTCTCGGAAAACCGAAGATCTACGCAACAAGAAGAGCGTTGCAGGCAGTTCAGCCAGCGAGCAACAAAGGGACGTGGTTCCAAACCAAGGACATGAGCGCCAGTGCGCTCGGCGATCTAGTAGCCATGCGCAGTACGTAAGCCGTTCCTGCGTAGTCGCATCTGCGCAGCATGAGCGAGACCTTTTCAACATCATGTCAATGCGTTGGTACTGAGGAAGATACTCACCAGGTTACAAACTGCCGCTTCGGTCAATACCCAAGAGCACAAACAAGCGGCCCGGGTGAGGCACTTTCAAGCACTCGAAAATAACAGGAAGTGTCAACTCGGTCAACATGAAGGCCAGACTACAACTACTACTACTACGCAACGAACGCATAATGTCTATTACAACGAGCGGCTCTCCAGAAAACCCAAGAGAATACGGAGCAGTCATTCCATCTACAGGATATGCGGCAGACTTCGCCCCAGTGAAAACATGAAGGAAGCGAAACGCGAATCAGGCAGCGCCAGATGCAACATGCTCTGGGTGTTCTCCGTGTCCCCGTTGTTCTGTGTGCCAGCCACACCACGTCAGGATTAACATCGACAGATGACGCGCCGGTAAAGAGGACACTCACGATTAACGCGACGCCGTCCGGGAGTAGCGCGAGGAACGAGTTGTACTTGTTGGAGTCTGATGAACTCTGAACCTGGAAGGCTGTAAGCCGCACAAAGAGAGGTCTTCAGTCTGTGAGAGAACGACTATGATTGCATAGTACTGTACCTGTAAGCCGCACAAAGAGAGGCTACAAGTACTAGTAAGTAAACATGTAAGGAAGCATAGGTAGTATGGGACTTACTCTTCAGTCTGTGAGAGAA